GGTCCAGGGTCCTTTCTGGGTGGAGTTTGCATGTTCTCTCCGTGCATGCGTGGGTTTTCTCCGGGTACTCCGGTTTCCTCCCACAGTCCAAAAACATGCATGTTAGGCTGATTGGTAACTCTAAATTGTCCCTAGGTGTGAGTGAGAGAGTGAATGTTTGTTTGTCTCGTTTGTCTCTATGTGGCCCTGTGATGGACTTGCGACCCGTCCAGGGTGTACCCCGCCCCTCGCACAGTGATTGCTGGACATGGGCACCAGCGACCCCCGTGACCCAAAATGGAATAAACGGGTAAAGAAAATGGATGGATGGATGGATGGAATAACCTCATCCAAACCATCCACATGTCTGCTAGATCCCATCCCAGCCAGACTGTTTAAAGAGGTATTTCCCCTAATTAATGTCCACATTTTGGATCTACTTCATTTGTCTTTAATGAATGGTTATGTGGCAGCACGGTGGCACAACTGGTAGAGCTGCTGCCTCTCAGCGAGCAGGTCCTTGGTTCAAACCCCGGTCCAGGGGCCTTTCTGGGTGGAGTTTGCATGTTCTCTCCGTGCATGCGTGGGTTTTCTCCGGGTGCTCCGGTTTCCTCCCACAGTCCAAAAACATGCATGTTAGGCTGATTGGTAACTCTAAATTGTCCCTAGGTGTGAGTGAGAGAGTGAATGGTTGTTTGTCTCTGTGTGGCCCTGTGATGGACTTGCGACCTGTCCAGGGTGTACCCCGCCCCTCGCACAGTGATTGCTGGACATGGGCACCGGCGACCCCCGTGACCCAAAAATGGAATAAGCGGGTAAAGATAATGGATGGATGGATGAATGGTTATGTATCACAGAGCTTTAAGGTTGTGGTAATTTAACCTGTACTTAAGAAGTCTGACCTTGATTAAGAAATTCTGGCCAACTATAGACCTATATCTAATCTAACTTTCATCTCAAAAAATCTAGAGAAAATAGTTGCAGGTCAGTTGCGTGAACATCTACAAAGAAATAATCTGTTTGAAGAGTTTCAGTCAGGGTTTAGAGCTCATCATAGCACAGAAACAGCACTAGTAAAAGTCACTAATGATATTCTCATGGCCTCAGACAATGGACTTGTGTCTATACTGGTCCTGTTAGACCTCAGTGCTGCATTTGATACAGTTGATCACAATATTTTACTACAGAGGCTTGAATATGATATTGGGATTAGAGGAACAGCTCTAAAATGGTTTAAATCATATATATCTGATAGATTCCAGTTTGTAATTGTAAATAATGAATCTTCTTCATACACCAAAGTTAGTCATGGAGTTCCTCAGGGCTCAGTGCTTGGGCCAATACTCTTTACTTTATATATGCTTACATTAGGTAAAGTTATTAAACAGCATGGGGTAACTTTTTATTGTTATGCTGATGACACACAATTATATTCGTCCATTAAACCCAATGAATCCAATCAGCTGCTTAGACTACAAGCATGTCTTAAAGACATAAAAACCTGGATGACCCTTAATTTTCTCCTGTTGAACACAGAGGTTTTGGGTTTTGGACCTGAGCACCTTAGGAATTAATTTTTCAGTCTTTCACCCTCCTTAGATGGCATTAATCTGTCCTCCAGCTCTAATGTTAAAAATCTTGGTGTTATTTTTGATCAGGACATGTCTTTTATCCCCCACATTAAAAACGTTACTAGAACTGCCTTCTTCCACCTGCGTAATATCACTAACATTAGAAACATCTTATCTAAAAATGATGCAGAAAAACTGGTCCATGCATTTGTCACATCTAGACTGGACTATTGCAATGGTTTATTATCTGGATGTCAAAATACGTCTTTAAAACGTCTTCAGTTGATCCAAAATGCTGCTGACAGAGTCTTAACCGGAGTTAGTAGGAAAGATCATATCTCTCCAGTTTGAGCTTCTCTCCATTGGCTTCCTGTCAAATCCAGAATAGAATTCAAAATCTTACTTCTAACCTACAAAGCTCTCAACAACCTGGCTCCATCTTATATTACAGATCTTATAGTTCCATATTTTCCTAACAGAGCACTTCACTCTCAGACTGCAGGTTTACTTGTGGTTCCTAGAATTTACAAAAACAGAATGGGAGGCAGATCTTTCAGTTATCAGGCTCCTCTCTTGTGGAACCAACTTCCAGTTTCTGTCCATGAGGCTGACACATTATCCAGTTTTAAAACTAGGCTTAAGACTTTCCTTTTTGCTAAATACTATAGTTAGGGTCGGCTTGGGTTTCCTGAGCTGTCTCTTAGTTATGCTGCTATAGGCTTAGACTGCTGGAGGACAAACTGACCACAATTTTTCACTCTGCTACTGTCTTTACTTACTCTGCTCAACCTGTTTTGTATTTGTAATTATTTTTTCTATCCTTAACATGTGTTTTTTTTTTTTTTTTGTCTTTCAGATACATCTGGACCTATACCTGGACCTACCATTCTGTGTTCGTTTGTCTCTCCTTCCTGTCCTCTCAAACCAGCCGGTCAAAGCAGATGGCCGCTTGTCCTGAGCCTGGTTCTGCTGGAGGTTTCTTCCTTTTAAAAGGGAGTTTTTTCTTTCCACTGTTGCCACTGTGCTTGCTCAGGATGGGAGACTGCAACGAAGCCAAGATTCAACTTGTCTGCTGGATTCCTTAGATAGAGAACTTTACTAATTGGCTTTTATGTGAATGTTCCTGTAAAGTGCCCTGAGACAACTTTGTTGTGATTTGGCGCTATATAAATAAACTGAATTGAATTGAATCTTAACAAAAACTGTACAGAAAGAAGGTTTTATGTGAATGAGTAGCTAAAATGATAGATCCGACATCAGTTTCAAAGTTCACCTTTGAGTTGTGGGTCTCCATTGAATGCTCCACAACCCCATTTTCCTGTGGCGATGTCTGGCCCTTTAAGCCCATGGTGGTTTTTAAACCCGCAGTATGCCTTCATAAACAGAGAAAAAAGTTGATTAAATATTAACATTACAGGTTGTGGCAGAACCAGAAACACCTTTTAGGGTCCAAACGTAGTAAACTGAAGCACATTTTGTGAGATGTCAAATCCTGTGGCAGATATAATACACGTGCAACATTTGACCATTTGATTAATAAATGAGGTCATGGTGGAAACTGTTGTGAGTTTTTGTACACTTTACATTAGGTTTGATTATTTGAGAACCTTGTCCAGATTACTTTTATTTTAGGGTTATGCAAAAGTTTAAAACTGTCTAAGGTTTATATAAAGTACATTGTAATGTTAAATTTTGGATAAAACTGACAGCATAATTTACCAAAATGCCCATATGGCACAGTCATTCCCTACAGCCTAAGAAAGATGACACAAAACGTAGTCTGCATTCATAGTTCTGGAGTCCATATCTGTACCAAGTATAAATATATATGTTGAAAATGCCTAAATTTGTTGTTTGTGTCTCTGATAGAAAGCAGTTTGACTGTTGAATTACTGAACTGGTTCAGTGGTGGGCACGGTTTTGCTAATCCACTAATAGTGGAACGAACTTTCTGTTTAGCAAATTAGCGTTTTCACTAATTTTGAAAACCTTTAGTGAAATTAGATGCTGCCAAGTTTAAATCCAGTAATTCAAGTCTGCTCATTTTTTAAAGACAATTTTCTGCACTAAAAGTATACAGGAGAATCGTGATGTACACAGGACGAAGCAATGCTATGCTAAGACATACAGAACTAAGCAAAGCTAAGTGCCACCCAGTGGCATCACCACCTCATCGTGCTTTTTCACCCTCATACAAACAGTCTCTGACACATTGTGTGGATTTACAGACAATAACAGATTTTAACATAAATGCCAAACCAAATCAGAGCAGGAAAATAACATTAAAACCCATTTTTACACTCGCAGACATTGTAAACAGTCAGAAGCACTGCACACATAATTTCTACCCAGTATGCTTTGCAACACTCACACTGCCTCTGGGACATGACTCTCTCACGCATTTCACACATCTTTAGTACAAACAGATTTATTACCGAGAGAATATTGACTATGACAGCAACTTTGTAATTACGTAGTTTATAAAAGTAGTTATCCACAGAGAATATCCTGATGCATGCTCAATAATCCAGGAAGAAAAATCCAAAAAAGTTCAATCTGGTCCTCTGGACATTAAAAAAAAATAAATAAAAAAAAAAAAATGTAGAAACGTTTCGTCTCTCTTCCGAGAGACTTCCTCAGTCTGAGGTGCTGTTTTCAGCTCAGTCTCTTAAATAGCACCTTCTCAGAGTGGATCAACTAATTTTGCTGCTGACAACCAAAACCAGCTGATCACATGCTCAAGAAGGACCATCAGCCTAACAATGGGTCATTAGCACACTGATGGCTGTTTACTACTCACAGAGGGCTGAGTGATACTAGCAATCACAGCATTGTAAGAGGGGGACAGTTGAACCCGGAGGCCTCCACCCCTGTTTAATGATGGATGATTTCTTTTCACAAAGATGGCCTCCTTTACTCTTCTCTCAAACCATCGTTCCTCTCTGTCCAGGATGTGAACATCTTCATCCTTGAAAGAGTGACCGCTGGCCTGGAGATGAGTGTAGACCGCAGAGTCCTGACCTGATGATGTTGATCTTCTGTGCTGGGCCATCCTTTTGGCCAGTGGCTGTTTAGTTTCCCCGATGTAAGACTGATCACCCTCCTGACACTGAACAGCATACACAACATTACTCTGTTTGTGCCGGGGGACTGGATCTTTGGGATGAACCAGTCTTTGCCGTAATGTATTTTGGGGTTTAAAAGCCACTGGGACGTTATGTTTAGAAAATAAATGTCTCAGTTTCTCTGATACTCCCTCAACATACGGAATGACCACTGGTCTGGGTCTGGGTTCCTCCTTTTCACCTGATGGCTGACTGGAGTCCTGTTTGGGTTTCTTCTCTGCTTTCAGGAAGGCCCAGTTAGGATATCCACATTGCTCTAGAGCCTGTCTTGTGTGGGATTTCTCCTTCTGCCTGGCTCCTGAGCTAGTGGGGACGCTGTCTGCTCTGTGGTACAGATTCCTGATGACTCCTAACTTGTGCTCCAAAGGGTGATGGGAGTCAAACTGCAAATACTGGTCTGTGTGGGTGGGTTTGCAGTACACCTCGGTTTGCAATTGTCCTCTATCAGAGACTGAGACCTCACAGTCCAGGAAAGCCAACTTGCCATTTTTTACATCTTCTCGTGTGAACTTGATGTATTTATCCACAGAGTTGATGTGGTCAGTAAAATGTTGGACTTCCTGAGATTTAATTTTAACCCAGGTGTCGTCAACATACCTGAACCAATGACTTGGTGGTGTCCCTGAAAAGGACGTCAAGGCTCTCTTTTCTACCTCCTCCAAGTACAGGTTGGCAACAATAGGAGAAACTGGAGACCCCATAGCACACCCATGTTTCTGCCTATAATATTGCTCCCCATATGTGAAGTAGGTTGACTGCAGGCACAGTTTCAAGAGTTGACACAGTTGTTCTGTGGAAAGCGTGGTCCTGCTGCTCAGAGTGGTGTCTGATTTTAATTTAAAACTGACCACCTCTACTGCATCATCAACAGGAGGGAGCCAGATTCAGAGAACAACAGTTGTTTTGGGTCAGACCGACTCCATTATTTCCTGTATGCCTTACAGTTCCACTGGTACACACAATGGTGACTTCAAACAGCCAAATTTTTGTGGTCAGTACCGCCAGGCCGAACTTATAACTTCTTCAAGGTCAATTCCTTCCTGCCCGCGAGATCCAGGAGCTGCAAGTAGCCTGTGATTCTCAGCAGAAATCCCATCCAGCTTATGGCTTAACGTCTCTAAATAGTTATTTTCTAAACATAACGTCCCAGTGGCTTTTAAACCCCAAAATACATTACGGCAATGACTGGTTCATCCCAAAGATCCAGTCCCCCGGCACAAACAGAGTAATGTTGTGTATGCTGTTCAGTGTCAGGAGGGTGATCAGTCTTACATCGGGGAAACTAAACAGCCACTGGCCAAAAGGATGGCCCAGCACAGGAGATCAACATCATCAGGCCAGGACTCTGCGGTCTACACTCATCTCCAGGCCAGTGGTCACTCTTTCAGGGATGAAGATCACACATCCTGTTCACATCCTGGATAAAGAGGAACGATGGTTTGAGAGAGGAGTAAAGGAGGCCATCTTTGTGAAAAGAAACCATCCATCATTAAACAGGGGTGGAGGCCTCCGGGTTCAACTGTCCCCCTCTTACAATGCTGTGATTGCTAGTATCACTCACCCTCCTGTGATTAGTAAACAGCCATCAGTGTGCTAATGATCCATTGTTAGGCTGATGGTCCTCCTTGATCATGTGAGCAGCTGGTTTTGGTTGTCAGCAGCAAACTGGTTGATCCACTCTGAGAAGGTGCTATTTAAGAGACTGAGCTGAATACAGCACCTCAGATTGAGGAATCTTTCGGATGAAAGATGAAACGTTTCTAGATTTTTTTTGTTGTTTTGCTTTGTTTTGTTTTTTTTGAATGTCCAGAGGATCAGATTTAACTTTTTTAGATTTTTCTACCTGGATTATACAGCATGCATCAGGATGTTCACGTATTAGACGTTCTTCCGTGGCTAATGGTGCAGAAACGGGTGGATGCTGGGTCTCGTTGGCACTGAGGAACACTGGGCGTGAGTTGATATAAAGTATACCATACTCATATGCACTCAGAATAACCAACAAATGAAGAATTAAAGATTTAAAGAAGCTATGAGCTCAGTGCAGTACCACAAATACCCACTTGGCGCTGTAAGCGTGATATGTTATGGTCCACGGTATCAAAGGCAGCTGTTAGGTCGAGCAGGACAAGAACCACATGTTCACCAGAATCATTAGCCATAAAAATATCATTAAAAACTCTGACTAGAGCTGATTCGTGCTGTGGTGAGTTTTGAAGCCAGACTGAAAAACCTCCAGGATATTGTGCTCATCCAGAAAACATTTGACCTGTGAATATACAATTTTTTCTAAAATTTTTGAAATAAAAGGCAGCTTGGAGATGGGCCTAAAATTAGCCAAGACAGTTTGGTCTAGGCTAGGCTTTTTAAGCAGGGGCTGCACCACAGCATGTTTAAAACTTATTGGGACAACACCTGAGGACAGACTTCTATTGATAACAGCAAGAATCATCTGCCTGATGCTGGAAAACACCTCTTTTAAAAGACGAGGGGGGACAAGGTCACGAGGAGAACCTGATGGTCTAATATGGCCGACCACATCCTCTAAAAGGGTCAGGGTCACTGGTTCAAATCTATCAAACACAGCCAGGCAGGGGACCAAGCAGGAGGGGTCAAAAGCAGGGGCTGAAATAAGGGCCCTTGTGGTAACAACCTTATTTATAAAAAACTGCAGGAAGTCATTACAAAGTTCAGTAGAGGCTTCCAGACAGACAGGTTGTGGGGCCTTCAGGACAGAGTCAATAGTTTTAAAAAGGACACGTGGATTATTATGATTGGACACAATAATATCTGACAAGTGTTGTTTTTTGGCCTCTTTAACAGTGTTCTGGTACTGACGTTGACAGTCCTTTAAAATGTAAAATGAAACCTCCAGTTTATCCTTTTTCCACCTCCGTTCAGCTCTGCGGCACTCCTGTCTGGCTGCAATAGTTTTTTCATTAAACCAGGGTTCAGATCTGGCTTTAGGCCGCACCAGTTTAGATGGAGCTACACAGTCCAAAATGGTTTGACAGGAGGAGTCAAACCAGGAGCTCAGCTGTTCGGTGTCAGCAGCAGAGCAGAGCAATGACAACCCAAGCCTTTCAAATAGTTTTTGTCCTTTTTGTTTCTTTACAGCACCTATTCATCACTTCTACAGTAGCTCACAGTTCCCATGAGCAGCTAAATTCTAGCAATGAGCTTTGGCTGGTTTGTGTATCTTTAAGTGTAATTTTAGTCATATTTCAACCGGTGGCAGTGCAGACAGT